CAAACAATATGTAATGACAGTTGCTACATATCAACCAAACAATATGTAATGACAGTTGCTACATATCATACCAAAACAATATGTAATGACAGTTGCTACATATCATACCAAACAATATGTAATGAAAGTTGCTACATATCACACTTTGCTACATTTCTGATGGTTTTGTACACCTTCATTGAAGGTTAAAGTCACTTTCTAACCTGACCACCATGAACGAATATAATAGTTGTATAACTCTTGCTACGTAAATAGTATGGCTTGATTTTCTAACTATGCTGTTATTGTAGAAGTATTGCAGCCTGTTATATATATATCTGTAGTTAGGCTAGCCGTGTTGCAATATAATAACTACTTTCAGTTAAATGTAGTTTAATCTCCATCAAATGTGACTTTGTGGTTGGTTTTAATTACAGATTCGACTCTGTCCTGCCCATAATGCACTACAACTCCTGCTGTGTTTATGTGGTTTGACCTCTTTATTTCGCGCTTCAAAGACAATGTGAAGTTAGTTAGTTTGTTTTCAAAATATGAAAGATAATTCCAGCCGTGCAACAGGTCGAAACGAACCACGTATTCACCACGTACGACCAATCGGTTCAGAAAAATACTCTGACCCCACGCAGAAGAATTATCGTTCCAGATACCACTACAATTGGAATCATTCTCATTTGCAGAGTGTGGAAGAAAGCGATGAAAAACCCGAAGAAACCGACAAGTGTGATTCTAACTACCCAACAGGAAACGCTAATGGATTTTGTTACGGTCAACCAATGCATGCTCCCACTTCTCGGAATTTTGCCAACGATTTCCTCCAAGTTACCAAAAGGGAAAAATTAACTGGTGTTCATTATCAAATCAGTAACCCTTCTCATGATCGCAACATTAAAGAACCGAAAGATCTTTCAAGGTCTCGTGGGAGAGTCAAAAGTACCGATGTATGTAAGAAACAAAAGAGCTACGTTCCCTGTCTAACTCGATCCGCCATCTTAAAACAGTTCGAACTAGGGAGTTTAGATAAAGCTAGTTCCTATACTTTCCAGCAGCATCCGATAGACACTTCGTTTCCTGCTAGCCTTGGAGAAAGTTCCTCTGTGAATGAAGTAAAACATTTTCAAAACCGTGAACTTGGATTTGGGGACAGCCCAGAAAACAGTATCTTCACTATCAGGGGTCAAAAGACGGTCACTGACTCTTCTGTTCGTTTGAAAGACAAAACTGGGATCGTTGAAACGGGAGAAACTAAGTTGATGGACCCTTGTCGCAACGTCGAAACGGTGGAAAGGTAAGTAAAGAGGTTACAATATACAGTATTAGCCTGATTATAGGGCGAACTCGAATATAAAGCGACCTCCATTTTGAGAAACCATGGGAAATAAAAAATTGAGTGTCATGAGTCTTTTTTTTTACGTCTGCAAAATCAATACTATAATTGAGCAGCCTGCTGGTGGATTAATTGCAAGAATTAGTGATGACCTTGAGCGAACATCTGGCGTGCATGCCTAGCTGTATGCTATCTGGACATTCAGGAATTCGACAGGCTAGAGTAGGGGGAAGGGGTCTGTGATTATAAGGCGACTATGAATTTTAGTCTAATTATTAATAAAAAAACATCGCCTTATAATCGGGCCAATACGGTAACTCTCTCACGTCTGGAATTTTTTTTTTTTAAGATTTACTCTTTTCTGCATGATTATTCTTATCCTTCATATTATTCACTAAAGCCATCTCCTTGTCATTATCTGAAGTTATCACATCTAAATACATAAGAACATAAATAGCCTTGATTAATAAACCTTTTTTCAACATCTTTTCCTACAACATAATCTTAGGTTGATGTTTGTTTATCGCTTAAAAATATCCTTACGAAGAAGAGCTTTGAGTCATTGTTGAATTTTTAAGTTTATTTATCAAGTACACTCTAAAAAGTTGAACTTTAATATAATACTATTAATTATATGTCAACTCATGAACGATATTTTTAAGTTTAATAGAAGTCATTTGGTTTGTGAGGTAAAACTGAAAATACTGACTGCGAGCATTTTAAGAATGAAACAAATATTAAACACAAGTATACAATCGGGGACGTTTCTAGCCCTTAAAAAGTGCGAGACACATGGGGAGTAAACCTTCAACAATGCATTTAAAATAACATTAAAACTTGAAATAAACGTTTTGGACAATGGCTTTCGTCGGGCTTGTAGAAGAGGTAATGTATAATAACCACTTCTTCTTTCCTACCTTTCCACTTTTCGAGCCCGGCATGGCCAGGTGGTTAAGGCACTCGACTCGCAATCTGAGGGTAACGGGTTCGAATCCCCGTCACACCAAACATGCTCGCCCTTTCAGCCGTGGGGG